ATCTCACTGGGGTTTCTTCTGTTCTACACCCAGTCTTGGGAAGACAAGGTACTACTAATGAAAGAACTCTTCTGCAGAGTCTTGTCTGAGTGGCCAGTGTTGCACATGCCTAGTTAATTTATCGTAACCCAGTACCATAAAGGACAGTACACTCCCTCATCTGACAGGAAGAGAGAATGAGGGACAAAGGGAAGCCGAGCAACATCCAGGTACCCTTTCAACACAACACAATAATCCTGCAATAGCAAGTGCCAATTCTGTATTTGGCTTCAAAAGACAGGTTAAAAAAAAAAACTATCAAGATGGCAATAAAAAAAGATGAAGATTTCTGCAGGAAGGAATATGCCACACAAAATACTCTTAGAGCTACACTCTACTGTGCAAATGAAAGAATGTAAAGTCACCTATTAATTATGTTGAAATGATATTTTGGGTGTATTGGGCTAAATAAAATTCATTACAAAAATAAGTTTCACTTTATTTCTTCTACTTTCTTAATATAACACTGGAACGTCTTAAATTAAATTGTGGTTCACACAGTATTTCTACTGAAATTGCTGTTTGGGGCGAGGAATGTAGCTCAGTTGGTAAAGTGCTTGCCTAGCATGCACATGGCCCAGAGCTTCATCCCCAGCACAACATAACCATAGTTAATAATACTTAAGGGAAGGAGACGACGGATCAGGAATTCAAGCCAGCCTGGGATATGCACAATGAGAGGGAAGAGAACGGAGGGAGAGAAGTTCAAGAGAGTGTGGTCTCACACTGTATTTGTTCACTTAGCAAATACTTATTCAATACTAAAATTATTTCACTACATGCTGTACCAAGTGCTAAGACCTTCAGCATGATCAAAGAAAACAACCCTGCCACCAGAGCTTACATCACCTACTACACATTTTTATGTGATCATGAATAAAAATAATAATTGTAACCTTTTGAGATACAAATGACAAGGCTTGATTTAGAAATTATCAAATATAAATCTGTTAATTCCAGACTAATGACGACTTGTCTGGTGACAAGGCAGTTTTTAGTACTACATTATCCTCATCCAGAAACTTTGTTTTTGTTTTAGAGACAGGATCTCACTATGTAGCTCTGGCTGGCCTGAGCTACACAGGCTGGTCTAGAACTCACAGAGATTTACCTACTTCTGCCTCCTGCTACTGTCATCAGTATCCTAATAGCTTCTTGGTCTTCTCTAACTAGTTTGTTCCTATGATTCAATGTGAGAAGTTCAAGTGGCAACATGCTAGGTATTCACAGTACAAGGGCTTTTTCCACTCTTAAGGGTCTCTAGAGTGGAGTGGAATAAAAATGTTAGGGTACATACTTTTAAGGAGACAACTCCAGCTTTGGATGAAAGATACAGTTCTGAAGTTTCTTTCGGGCTTAAATAAACAAAGGTAGTTTCTGACCAAAACTGTGCTTCAAAATTCAATGTACAAACTTTTAAGCTAAAAGAGCTAACTAGTTCTCTCCTACTGAGACCTTCACATAGCAAAACCTTTCCACACAGGACTTCTAAAACAAATCAACAAGGCTGGAGTGATGGCTCAGCAGATATCTGGGTTTGATTCCCAGGACCCACATGGCAGTTCACAACCATCTGTAACCTCTTCTGGCCTCTCAAGAGTACCAAGTATGTACGTGGTATATAGAAATATATGTAGCCAAAACATACATACTCATAAAATAAAAATTTTAAAAATTAAAAAAGAATCAAATCAACAATTAGTAATTTTCTAGCAAATGACTTAAAATACTAGCTGGGAACGGTAGTGGGCGTAGAACCCTAGCACTTGGGAGGTGGGAGGATTAAGAATTCAAGGTCATCCCCAACTGCACAGTAAATTCCTTTGAGACTAGCCTGGGCTATACAAGCCCTTGTCTCAAAAATCCAGGAAACAAAATAAAACACTAGATAACCTCAAGAGAACAAGACTATACAAGAATTTTAAGGTAGTAGAACAGCTCCCAAAATAATGTTAACAATAAAACAATTATTCGGCTGGAGAGACAGCTCAGTGGTTAAAGTATTTAACTACTTTTGCAGACAGCCTGGGTTCAGTTACCAACATGGCAGTCGACACACATCAGTAACTCTTCTAACTCCTTCAGCCCTGCACTCATGTAGTGCACATACATATACTCAGGCACACACATATGGACATAAAGTATTCAGGGGCTGGAGAGATGACTCATTTACAAACACTGGCTGCTCTTCCAGACGACCTAGGTTTCATTACCAATACCCACATGGTAGCTAACAACCAATGTAACTCCAGTCCCAAAGGAATCTGATGCCCTCTTCTGGCTGCCACAGAAACTGCACACATGTCCTACACTAGATTTACATGCAGGCAAAATACACACACAAAAATACAATAAAATAATTCTTCAGATATTACTGATAACAACAATGAAAACAATATAATAATATGCTTTGGGGTTTTTTTTTGAGACAGGGGTTCTCTGTGTTGTTCTGGCGGTGGTGGAACTCACTCTGTAGAGCAGGCTGGCCTCGAACTCAGAGATCCACCTGCCTCTGTCTCCCAAGTGCTGAGATTAAAGGTGTGCGCCACCACTGCCCATCCCAGTACTATTTTTTTATTTTAAAAAGTGCTTTTTCCCCCATTTTCATATATCAAGTATCACTAATGTATGACAATATAGAGAAACAATGAAGTATCCAAATTTTAAACACCTAAAATTATTTCAATGTCTACCACCATCTGAAATACAAATGTTTTAGGCAATGAATACTTTCCTTCACTCTTCAGCTGCATAAGTGTGCTTATTCATAAGCTGCTTCAACACTACGCATCTTCTGTCAGTTAACAAAGAACTGGCATAGTGACTTTAAAAAAGGACGAGAGAAAAATTATTCTTAGTTGGAGAGGGGGAAACTTCCTAGGTTTAGAGAGTTCAGTTACTCTCCACTGGTAATCTCACACTTGCTGAACAGGAGTCGAGCTAAAGGCTTTTATTCAGCCAACGTATTCCCTATATGAGTGTGAGTCTTTCCAAACAGGCTACAACTTTGTTCTGAAGAAGTAGCTGGACAAATGGAATGTAACATGCAATCAAACAGTCATTTAGAAACTCAACTTTACTTTGGCTGTTAGCCCAAGATGCTCAAGTTTTTTAGCTAAACCTCAACAATAAAATCAATAAAAGAGCATATGCTTGGTCAGTCAGAACAGGCCTGCATTTGACAACTGTCACCTAGGTACCCTCAGAGGACAAGTGATGATCCTCTAAAACTCTATTTCCTGAGTAGGGAAGATACAAATGAATAACTCTAATATGAAAGTACCCAAATTTATCACCACCTTACTCTGGGCCAAGCACTTGACAATTCAAGTTATCACAAATAGTTTGCCTTCTTAGAAACTTCAGGAAACTGTACTTCTCAGTCTTCAGGCCCTGCAGGTGATGGTGATTGTTGTTACTAGTGTTTATTGTTGTTTGCCACGAAGTCTAGCTAATTGCTCAGGTTTGCTTTTATTTTAACAACTTTCCCACCTCAACCTCTAGAGTAGCTAAATTACAAACAGAAGAAGTGGAAGGCAGATGATCAGAGAACATATGTGTATTAGGTGGTAAGGGCTGACTAGAAACCAAAGGATTTCTGTTTAATATCTAAGTGTTCAGGAAAAACCAGGTCCTGCCATACAAATATACAAGATCCTTTCAAAAGGCAGGAAAGAAGAAAAAAAGACAAGGAGTACTAAGGTATTTACCTTGCATAGCCCCATCCTCAGGACAAGCCCCCCACCCCCCACACTCACCTAAATTTGTACATACATATATATCCCATTAAAGAACAATGGTGACTTCTAGCTGGGCAAGTAGCACAGGCCTTTAATCCTATCGGTAGTATGAACTCATGGTTAGCCAAGATCAAGATCCAGGCCAACCAAGCTACATAGTGAAACCCTACCTCAAAAAGAGTGACGACTCCCAAGTACATTACACAAACAATTGTAAAAATATCATTTTGACTACCTGTGTTCAAACATGGCAAGTCAGTCCATTTACTTTCTACCAGGTGCTTAAGTATCTTTAACAACACTTAAGTAGAAAATAACATGGTACTCTCATTTTGTCAGATTAAAAAAGGCACCAAAAATTCAACAAACTGCTACAAATATTCAAAGTTAAATTCTAGCATTAGCTAGACAACAATACAACGAACAATTCTCTATATTAATTCTAATATTCAGCTGAGGCATCTCCAAGACGAGACATTTCAGGAAGCTATTTTAGTAAGGGATAGGCTGTGTTTCAACTTCTAAAATAATCCTGAGATTAAAAAAAAATTAATTTTACTGGGGTTCTCAAATGAGAACCCTGAGAATTTGAGAACCCCGAGATAATATTTTTTTCTTTCTCAGAAAGACACCTTGCAATGGAATTAAAATTTTTTGCCATGGTCATACGAAATTTAAGCTTACACTGTATACAGTAATTGAAAAAAAAATTAAAAAGGGGGGCTTGTTTTGTTTTGCATAATTTGGTTAAGTAAGTCCCAAGACTTAATACCAAATCCTTTCCCAAGAAATTGCATGTACCAAGTAAAGAACATCTGAAAATAAGGTCATCGCCATTTTCTAAATATTTACATTTTAATTCAATACAGGCAGCTCGATGTTAAAGAAGCTTAAGCAGGCAAATATGGAAATGGCTTGAATTACAAACAGAAGCAGTAGGATGTGCACTGAGACCGGTTAACAGCAAAACCGGAAGAAAAAAAAGAACAAGTATATCGTCACACTACATACAATGAAAAGGGTCAATGAATCCAGGTTAAAATAAGAAACAAACAAACGAAAAAAGACAGCCAGGTGTACACACACACACACACACACACACACACACACACACACACACACGAACGTAGAATGTGGAGAGATCAAAATATTTTGAAAGCACCAGCCAAGGAAAGGACGGCTTTCATGTTTGCCGTTTGCTAGCTATCATTTCACACCAACCTTTCTCGCCCACCTCCAGGTTTGAAAATTGCAGCGGCATTTAAAGGCCGTCCTTTCTAACCTTACCGACATTCCCAACAGCAAATCTGACACAAAGTAAAGCACCAGCCATGTATTTCTACCTCCAAGGGGCCAATGAGCAAAAAATGAAACCTTTCTTTCTCCCATATATAGCCTTCCCCATCCTCTTCCCTCTTTTATTCGCTGCCCTTGTCTCGGGATTAATGAACCCTGAACTACTTCTTCCCATTAATGGAAATGGAAAAAGCGGGGAGAGCAACGGCGGAGTGGAATCCCAGACCGTAGGAAAAACTGGAAATTCAAAGTAGTGGCCTCGCTCTCGGCAAGGGGGAAGAGCCTGGAGGTGGAGTCCCGGAAGACCCCGGCTCACACGCTCGCCCCCAGGCCGCACGGCTCGCCGCGCGGGTGCCTGAGTGTGTGCTCATCTCCCCGCCGCCCTCCCGGGCCCCGGGCGGCAGGCTTCGGGGGCCGAGTCCGCGGCGAGAGTGCGGCGAGGCCCGGCAAGCGTCCCGTTAGGGCCGATTTCACCCGTCAGGAATGCGCTCCGCCCCCGCCGCCTCCCCGCGGCGGCCGCCCTCGGCTCTCGCCCGCTCGGGGCAGCGCCGCGCGCGGCCAGTCACAACACCGTCGGGGCCGCGGACCCCACGCCCCGGCCCGCGCCCCGGGGGCAGCCGCGCACGTCTCCCGGCCCCGGTCCCAGGCCGGAGCGGCGCCTCGAATCCCCGACCGTAGGGAGGCGCCCGGCCCCCGCGGCTGCGGCGCCCGCCGTACCTCAGCTCCTCAGGGCGGCGGCGGCGAGGGGCGGCGGGCGAGCAGGCCCATCCCGCGGAGGCAGAAGCCGGAGGGAGGACGGAGGACGGCCCCTCAGCCCCGCCGCGGAACCTTCTCAGCTCGGGCAGGAGCTACCGGTGCAAGTGTGGCGGGCGGCCGCTTTCCCGAACTCCCCTCAGTGACTCCAGCCGGACCGCCGCAGCCGGGGACCAGCGCCTCAACTGCCATTCTCCCCCGCCCTCGCCCCTGGCCCCGCCCCCGCCGCCCACTCCGGCCCCGCCCGGCATGGCCCCGCCCAGCGCGCACGTACGTCTTGGCGTCACGCCCCTCCCCCTCCGGGGCCGGCCCCGCTCGCCTCCCGGCTGCGGCCGCCCGTAGGCTCGCGCACGCTGGCCTCGCGCTGCGCGCTCTCGCCGCCCGCCCTGCCGCCGGCTGCCGCTCGCCCCGGGCGCCCCGGACAGTAGGGCGGGCGACGCCCTTCTGCTAACCCCGACCACGTCTCTCTGAGTGACAGGTGGGGACGGCAGGAGCCACGCCCCGGGTGCAGCGCGTCCTGGGCTGGAGGACCCTGCCTCGGCACTCGGCCGTCTGCTCTCACCCCTTTGTTTCTCACGGTTCACCTGCTTGATTGGCAGCCCCCCTCCGGAGAGCCGAGCCAAGGCGGGGAGGCGGGTTCCTGCTGCTCTCAGCCCTGATCGATCTCTGAGAAATTCAGCGTTACTTTCATCCAGCCTGTGTGTTCCATTCTCCATTTCTTAATCAATCCAGTCAGACCCCCTCTGAATTTCTCATCTATTCAAGATTTGCTATAGATTCTTAGTAGAATAAACAGATCCTTTTCCAGTCCCAATCCCATCCTCTCCTAGTTTATTTTTGGGGAGGATTTAGATCATTTCCTTAGAATACTAAGAAATGGGTGTGATGGGTGCCAAAATGTCCATTCACCATCTGTTACTTAATCTAAATATATCACTTTTGATCCTTATTTCAGTGTGTCTAAATTAAAAAATAACCGAGGAGCCATATCTTTTCAAACCCCACTTGGCATCTTTGGTAACCCAGTAAATTTTTCCCAGTTAGAAACAGGCTGGGCAGTTTAAGATTCAGTATTTTTGACCACACATCTTTTTTTGTTTTGTCTTGTTTTATTTTTTGGTTTTCGAGACAGGGTTTCTCTGTGTAGCTTTGCACCTTTCCTGGATCTCACTCTATAGACCAGGCTGGCCTCGAACTCACAGAGATCCACCTGCCTCTGCCTCCCAAGTGCTGGGATTAAAGGCCTGTGCCACCACCGCCCAGCTGACCACACATCTTAAAGGAAGTAATTTCGGATATGATTTTCATTTATTGGAAGTTGAGATCCATCATGTGTTCACCTTTAAATGCTACCTGAAGACTGCATGCAATATACGATAACTACAGGACACTTTAAGCCTAGGAAAAAGGCAAGGTTAGCTTTACAGTATAGATGGGGCAATGGCTGGGAGGAGTTTTGAGTTGTGCAAAATAACAATGGTCTTGCACTCTGTATAGCCGTCATGGTTCTCAGAAATTCAGTTTCTTTTTCTGTCTTCCTAGAAATTGGAAGGATGTCTATTCCTCACTAGGCCAATATTCATCTATTAAGAAAGAGATACATCTATTGGACATCTCACTTAAATCTGTAAAGGCACCTTGTGCTGAACAGTTTTATGTCAACTTGATACAAGCTAGTCATTTGAAAGGCAAGATCCCCAAGTAAGAAAATGCCTCCGCATAAGATCAGGGCTGTAGACAAGGCTGTAAGGCATTTTCTTAATTAATAATTGATGGTGGAGGGCTCAGTCCATTGTGGGTGGTTCTATTCCTGGGCTGGTGGTCCTGGGTTCTATAAGAAAGCAGACTGAGCAAGCCATGTGGAACAAGCCAGTAAGTAGCACCCCTCCATGGCCTCTGCATCAGCTCCTGTCCTGTTTGAGCTCCTGTCCTGAAGTTCTTCATTGATGAACAGTGAATGGAAGTGTAAACTGAGTAAGCCCTTTCCTCCCCCAACTTGTTTTTGGGTCATGTTTTTTTGTTGCAGCAATAGAAACCGTAACTAAGACATACCTGTAGCTCAAGTCTGTCTGAGATGGGATAGGGATTTATCTAAAACAAACAAAACTTACTTCTTTCATTCAACCATGGCCATGCCAGAAATCTAGGGTTCTTCCCAGACACTCTTCCTTCATCCACTTTCACTAAGTCCTGTTTACTGTGCCCTCTAAACATCTCTCTGCTCTCTCGGCCGTAGACCAAAGGGCAATCACTTCAAGTTTGGCTGCCTCCCACAAGTGGACCGTGGAAAAATTCGGATGCCTAGGCTGCACCCTAATGAAGGTGGTTCTGGGTAGCTGTCTGTTTGTTAAACTCCAGATGATACAATGTACATTGGAAACAGAAAGCCAATGCTACACTTCACCATCTCCTTGGGTTCGTTCCCAGGTGTATCTTGCGGCACTCTCCTAATTTCCCATTGTGATCCATTCAGTGTTGTTTCTAGACGTAGTTTGCTGTGTGTTGAACTTAGAGATGTTTGTGGCACTCTCCTAATTTCCCATTGTGATCCATTCAGCCTTGGTTCTAGACGTAGTTTGCTGTGTGCTGAACTTAGAGATGTTTGCCCCGAGGGTACAGCAGTGGAGCACACCGCCAATGTGTTTGTCCTAACAACTTACACGGGAGGGTGCGGCACGAGGGATAAGGAATGAATTTCCCAGAGTGAGATGGTTTCAGTGAGAATGCTCCCGAAGGTTCATACGTCAGAATACGTGTCCCCAGTTGGAGGAACTGTTTGGGAAGGATTAAGAGATATGGCCTTGCTGGAGGAGGTGTGTCCTGGGCCGGGCTTTGAGCTTTCAAAAGCCTCCCTCCATCTCCAGTAGTTCTCTCTTTACCTGGTGATTGGGATCAAGATGTGATAGTAAGCTGTTCCTGCCACCAACCCTACTCTACCATCATGGACTATAACCCTCTGAAACCGTACACCCAATTGATTTAAATCCTCAAGAGAAACTAGGAGGAAAAAAATCGTGTTTTCTTTTGTAAATTGCCTTGCTATGGTGTTTTGTCCTCATAGCAATAGGAACATAACCAGGACACAAAGTAACAGAATAAAAAGTATCAAGGCCAATACTGTATTTTGTTCTCTCAAACTGAACTCAACTCTTCTGCTGTTGGAATGGAGCTGGGTTCTGCAGGGCAAGAAGGAAAGGACATGGAGGATGCTTGAGGACCAGCAGGTGGGAGGTCCTGGCAAGAAAAACCTGTCCAGGTTCAAGGCAACAGAGACTGAAGCACAGTGAGTGAGAGGAAGGGCTTGGATGGGAGAGGTAGGGACTCTGGAGCCAGATGACTGAGTGCCTTGAAGGATGCGGTAAGGGGATGCTATTGATTAGTGTGCATCAGTCCATTTTGTAAAAGTAAACAGCATCTGTTTGGATCTGAAACCTATCTCTGGCTGTTCTATGGATCAAACTATGGCGACCAACACTAGAACCAGGAAGACTAGTTAAAAGACCGTCGAAGGGATCCAATAAAGAAGCCACAGTTCTAAGGAGGCTGAGACTGTGGGAACAGAAATGGATGGTTTGCATATTTGTCTTGGGGTGTATAATTGGTAAGGCCTGCGTGGAATGCAATAAAAACAGGGAATGAGAGAGAAGAGTGGGATTAAATAATAGCTACTCCTTATTGGGTACATCCTACATGACAAGCCCTGTCCTGTTTTATTAGCATTAAGCCATTTAATTATCACAAGGCCCCAAAGATAGGTGTTGATATTAACAACAGATTAACAAATGAGAGTCTGAGGCTCGAGATTAAGTAATTCGGTCAGTTTCCGTAACTGGTAGTAACAGGGCTGAGGTGTTGTAGCCCATCGGACTGTCTGGCTCCAGAGCTGGCACCGTCTGCCACACACCAGTCCCAAGCCCCTTCACCAGAGTCACAGCCTAGGTGACATTTTCCTCAGCTAATTCCTGAAGTACCTCCTGCCTCCCTTCTTCTCTGCCTTCTGTCTCCTTCCTACCCTCTCTTTCTTTGTAGGGCCACCTAACATTGTACGTGTTGCTCTGTCTATGATTCTCCCTCCCCTCTCCTCTGCCTAGCTCCATCTACCAGCCTTCACTGGGCCTCACTGTGTAAGTTACGCCTATCTGGTTACACAGCAACCCTGTGCTTATCTCTAATTTTCCACAGAAGGTACTACGCTATTACTTCTCTAATTTTACACAGAAAGCACTACGTTATTACTTTCAGGTCTTCACACTACATTTTGGTTCTAGGCACCAGGGAAAGAAGAAGGAAGCCAAGAAGCTTAGCTGTGGACATGAGACACACCCAGAGAGACACCAAAGCCTCATCTCATCCCTGCCCTCAAGCCATTATCAACTTGGCAGAGACATGACACACAGAAAATCACCCCAGCAAGGCGTGGGAGCACACACCTTT